TGTACCCCTTACTCATTCACATGGGGGGGGGCCCCAGATTCTGATAAGCCCCCTGCCCACAGCCCCCACAACCACAGGCCAGGGTTGTGGGGAAGAGGCCCTTGTCCCAATCAACATGGGGACAAGGTGCTTTGGAGGGGCACCCCCAAAGCACCCACCCATGTTGAGGGCATGGGGCCTGGTATGGTTCAGGCGCTCGCTTGTTCCCCCCCCCCCTTTCCTGACCTGTCAGGCTGCATGCTTGGATAAAGGGCTAGTATGGATCTTGGGGGGGGACCCCACACCATTTTTTCTTAATTTTGGTGTGGGGGTTCCCCTGAAAACCCACACCAGACCCGAAGAAGGGCTTGTTATGACAGGAGGGGGGACCCCACGACGTTGTGTTATTTTGTTTTTTAATTATTTTGAATGCCCTTTCTGAGCTGCAATATGTAGGTGGAGTGTTGTGTGGGTGTGGCTTTGGCTTTAGTGTAGGTGGAGACACAGGGGGCCCCATTATCTCTTATTGCCGAGGGGGTCCCATGAGTTGTCTGTAATCTTGCCATGAAGCAGGGGGCAGACTGACAGGTGTGCAATTGGAATACAAATCCATGATTCCAGCAGGTATTCACTGGTGCCTGCCCTCCTCCCAAAATGGCATCCTGTTGAAGGTGCAATACATTTTCCTGGGCCGAAGTGTCTGTGAGCTGTTCATCCCTTGATTCCTGTGAACCAGGCACAGGAGGTTTTGGACCCCCCCCCCAAACTTTAGCTCTTTACCAGTTCACAGGAAAGTTGCACATTCTGTATCATATGCCTGCTTTTGTGTTTTTAAACACCTTCCTCTAGGCACTGGAGGTGTGCAAGGTTCCAGGGTAGGTACCATGGATTCTTGCACACTGCCCCTGCTGCTTGATACCCCAGCTGGTTGACCACTAGCTTTATAGTTATCTGGATACCCACCAGTTTACTGAAGTACTGCACAGGTAGTCCTGGGTAGATAGGCTTTTTGGCTGTTCTAGAAGATTTTGAAGTGTATTATTGCTCCTCCAACAGACACTGTACTTAAGTCCAAGTGATGATGGACAACTAATATAAGGTAAGAAACACCATGCCTATATTTCCGGTAGTGTACATTCTACATTGAAGTACCCTACTTTGGGCACATGTAAAGTACAGTATATATGACTTTTCAGGCTGCAGGGTGGTAGGGCATTCGCTGCCATGTGCTCTCTGAAGAAACTACCTGTAATCAATTAAACAAGCTAGGATTCCTGAAATGTCTCTAGTCTATTAGCGTCTACTACGCTCTACTGCCACATGAATTATGGGTTTTCACCAACTTTAGGCACCACAAATTAGAATTTGTTTTAACGTTTGTACCAAGTATCATTGGACATGCTGTTATTCTTAGAATATTTACATTATGTGTAACTGTTTTTTAGGAATCCAAGATGATCCTAACCTTAACTTTAAACAGCGTTTCCAGTCTAAGTCTGCATTGGTTCGCATGCCACCGAAACCTAGGACAGCTGACCCTACCAGTCAGAGGATCTCAGCTGTACCATTGTTACCTGCTTCGGCCATTATAAGACCTAAGACTGCTCACCTGGGAAATGTGATACCTTTTCAACAGAAATAATCTAAATAAAATACATTTAAACTAATTTTGCTGTTTTGAATAATAATTTAATTTAAATTTAATTAAAAGTTACTCTGTGTTGTATATTTAAAAATATATTAAAATAGATGATTTCCCAATACTTCCTGTAGAGGGCCAACAGTAAATAAGGACATCTCCTTAATAACTTGCTATACAGGGCAATTTTTTTTACACATGGTAAAATCAGTATTTTTTGTCAGAAAAAAACCCAAACATTATATATTTTCCTGAAAGCACAAGCCTTGGAGAATAAAATGGTGGCTGTTGCAGTAAATATAAAAGATGATGTTGTGTTGAGTTAGTAGATACCAAACACATCAAGAATTAAAACTGTTCACCCGAACTACAGTTCCATAAATCTTTCATACAGCAATAAGAATAGTGAAGCGTTGAATCATAAAATACCTTATACATACTAAATCATCAGTACATGATATAGAGGTGAAATTCGAAAAGTTAGAATATCATGGAAAAGTTCACTTATTTCAGTAATGCAACTTAAAAGGTGAAACTAATATATGAGATAGACTCATTACATGCAAAGCAAGATAGTTCAAGCTGTGATTTGTCATAATTATGATGATTATGGCTTACAGCTCATGAAAACCCCAAATCCACAATCTCAGAAAATTAGAATATTACATGCAATCAAAAAAAAAAAAGAATTGTACATAGAACAATATCGGACCTCTGAAAAGTATAAGCATGTATATGTACTCAGTACTTGGTTTGGGCCCCTTTTGCAGCAATTACTGCCTCAATGCGGTGTGGCATGGAAGCTATCCGCCTGTGGCACTGCTGAGGTGTTATGGAAGACCAGGATGCTTCAATAGCATCTTTCTCTTGGCAATGCCCCTTAGATTCTCTATGGGGTTCAGGTCAGGCGGGTTTGCTGGCCAATCAAGCACAGTAATTCCACGGTTGTTGAACCAGGTTTTGGTGCTTTTGGCGGTGTGGGCAGGTGCCAAGTTCTGCTGGAAAATGAAGTCAGCATCCCCATAAAGCTCGTCTGCGGAAGGAAGCATGAAGTGCTCCAAAATCTCCTGGTAGACGGCTGCGTTGACCCTGGACTTAATGAAGCACAGTGGACCAACACTAGCTGTCAGGAATGGACTTGCCAATAGTGGTGGGACTCACCTGCCTTGTGGGCTGCAGTACCAGGGCTGGCCAGCGGGTGCTCTCAACAACCAGAGGTTCACTTCGGCAATTAGCCATCACCTGGGGCTGATTGCAGGTGTATTTAAGGGATGGCCAGACCTGCAGTCTGTGCCTTGGTGTGTGTTTTTCCATGGGCCCCTGTATCTTGTAACCTGCGTTCCTGTTCCTGCCTCTGCCTGACTTGTTGCCGACCCTGCCTGATCCTGACCTCTGCTGACTTCTCCTGTTTTGATCCCTGGCTTGTGACCCTGACCATTCTCTCCGCCTGCTCCTCCTGTACCTACCTGCCCGATAGTTATCGACCCAGCCTGCCTGATTACGTTGTGCTCTATATGTGTATGTACCTGTGTATCTGTATCAGTTTAGGTTTGGGTTTGTTTCACCTTGTTGTATGTATTTGTGTTAGCTTGGGGTTTGGTGCACTGCGTTTATGTTTGTATTGTTAGTCTTTAATAAATTGTCTTATTTATACCATATCTGAAGCTTGCGTTTCCCTGTGTCAGTCCACACACTTCTGGTCACACCTGCATCCCTGACATTACACCAAGGCCACAAACCTGACCAGAAGTGGCTGCACAGGGAGGCCATCTTGGCTTATTGTTGCTGGGAAGGATGGATCTTGATGAGGTGGTGTATTTATCTCTGCTAGTGTTTGATGACAAAGACTATGTTTATCAGACTCTTAAGGAGTATACCCGGGATCAACTGCTAGAGTGTATAAGGATCGCTCATTGTCTAGTTGATCAGGGCGCAGAGTTTTCTGAGGTGCAGCCATTGATCCAGGTTTGTGCTGAGTTGGCTCGGTCCTGTACCCCTGAAAGCAGGGATGACTTTTTTCCCCCATTTAGTGTGGATCAAGTGGAATCACTGGTATGGTTGTTGGAGGATGATCCAGATTGTTTCCATGAGCACTATGCAGCATGTCCATCACATGTGCTTATGGATTGCATAAACGCAGTGCAGTCTTTGATCAGACAGGCAAGGTGTAAGCTGAGTTTTGTTAAACCAGTACTGCAGACATAGACAGATTTGTTACACCCAGCCTCAGTTGGCTTGCAACATCATTCCTCTGCTGAAGGCACTCTTCCTGCATCACGGACAGCACCCCCAGTGATGGCCCAGTATACTCTGCCAGTCCCCTGCTCCCACTCGCTGCACCTATCCTTTCTTCAACCCTGTAAAGAAGTCCTCTGTAGCAACTGCTCCCTCCTCTGTTCCATCCTCCAGCTCTTCTCTGTCTCCAGCTGCTCCATCCGTTTACAAACCTGCGCTTACTTACAGTGCTCCGGTAACTAAAACCAGGAAAAGGCGAAAGTTCTTTCCAACCAATACCATCCTGCCAGTATCCAAACCGGTTAGCCTCCCATCTGAGAACCTGCCTTCCGTGGTGCAGCCTGGTGCCTCGGCGCCCACAATTCAGCCTGATGCCTCTACCCAGCCTGATGTCTCCATTCAGCCTGATGTCTCTACCCAGCATGATGTTTCTACCCAGCCTGATGAACTGATCCAGCCTGATGATCCTATTATGCCAGATGACTCGATGCCCGCTGTTCCGCCAGTTGACTCGGAGCCCGCAGTCTTGCCAGACGACTCGGTGCCCGCAGTCTTGCCAGACGACTCGGTGCCCGCAGTCTTGCCAGACGACTCGGTGCCCGCTGTTCCGCCAGTTGACTTGGTGCCCGCAGTTCCGCCAGTTGACTTGGTGCCCGCAGTCTTGCCAGACGACTCGGTGCCCGCAGTCTTACCAGTTGACTCGGTGCCCGCAGTCTTACCAGTTGACTCGGTGCCCGCAGTCTTACCAGACGACTCGGTGCCCGTAGTCTTGCCAGACGACTCGGTGCCCGCAGTCTTGCCAGACGTCTCGATGCCCGCTGTTCCGCCAGTTGACTCGGTGCCCGCAGTCTTGCCAGACGACTCGGTGCCCGCAGTCTTGCCAGACGACTCGGTGCCTGCAGTCTTGCCAGACGACTCGATGCCCGCTGTTCCGCCAGTTGAATCGGTGCCCGCAGTCTTGCCAGTTGACTCGGTGCCCGCAGTCTTGCCAGACGACTCGGTGCCCGCAGTCTTGCCAGACGACTCGATGCCCGCTGTTCCGCCAGTTGACTCGGTGCCTGCTGTCGGGCCGGTTGACTCAGAGCCCGCTGTTGTGCCTGGTGACTCGGGGCCCGCAGTCTTGCCAGATGACTCGGAGCCCGCGGTATTGCTAGATGACTCGGAGCCCGCGGTCTTGCCAGATGACTCGGTGCCCGTGGTCTTGCCAGATGACTCGGTGCCCGCAGTCTTGCCAGACGATCCAATGCCTGATGACCCAGTGCCCACTGTGATGCCTGGTGACCTGATGCCCGCTGTCGTGCCTGGTGACCCGATGCCCGCTGTTGAGCCAGATGACCTGGTGCCCGCGGTCGAGCAAGACGATTCAATGTCTGATGACCCGGTGCCCGCTGTTGTACCTGGTGACCCGATGCCCGCTGTCGAGCCAGATGGCCCGGTGCCTGCCGCCCTGCCTGGTTGCCCGGTGCCCCCGCCGCTCCACCTGGGGGCCCGGTGCCTGCAGCTCCGCCTGGTGGCCCGGTGCCCGCCGCCCTGCCTGGGGGCCCGGTGCCCGCTGCTCCGCCTGGTGGCCCGGTGCCCGCCGCCCTGCCTGGGGGCCTGGTGCCTGCTGCTCCGCCTGGTGTCCCGGTGCCTGCTGCCCTGCCTGGTGCCCGCTGCTCCACCTGGGGACCCGGTGCCCGCCGCCCAGCCTGGGGGCCCGGTGCCTGCTGCTCCACCTGGTGGCCCGGTGCCCTGCTGCTCTGCCTGGTGATCTGGCGTCCAGCCTGATGTGCCTCCGTCCAGTGCCCAGCCCGAAGTGCCTCCATCCGGTGCCCAGCTCGAAGTGCCTCCGTCCGCTGTCCAGCTCGAAGTGCCTCCGTCCGGTGTCCAGCTCGAAGTGCCTCCGTCCGGTGTCCAGCTCGAAGTGCCTCCGTCCGGTGTCCAGCTCGAAGTGCCTCCGTCCGGTGTCCAGCTCAAGTGCCTCCGTCCGGTGTCCAGCTCGAAGTGCCTCCGTCCGGTGTCCAGCTCGAAGTGCCTCCATCCGATGCCCAGCCCGATGTGCCAGTCTTTGATATCCCGCCAGTCACCGGACCCGGGCGGTGGAACATTTTGCCCAGCTAGGACTGTTTGGAGCGTCCTGAGGCCGCTCCTTGAGGGGGGGGGTACTGTCAGGAATGGACTTGCCAATAGTGGTGGGACTCACCTGCCTTGTGGGCTGCAGTACCAGGGCTGGCCAGCGGGTGCTCTCAACAACCAGAGGTTCACTTCGGCAATTAGCCATCACCTGGGGCTGATTGCAGGTGTATTTAAAGGATGGCCAGACCTGCAGTCTGTGCCTTGGTGTGTGTTTTTCCATGGACCCCTGTATCTTGTAACCTGCGTTCCTGTTCCTGCCTCTGCCTGACTTGTTGCCGACCCTGCCTGATCCTGACCTCTGCTGACTTCTCCTGTTTTGATCCCTGGCTTGTGACCCTGACCATTCTCTCCGCCTGCTCCTCCTGTACCTACCTGCCCGATAGTTATCGACCCAGCCTGCCTGATTACGTTGTGCTCTATATGTGTATGTACCTGTGTATCTGTATCAGTTTAGGTTTGGGTTTGTTTCACCTTGTTGTATGTATTTGTGTTAGCTTGGGGTTTGGTGCACTGCGTTTATGTTTGTATTGTTAGTCTTTAATAAATTGTCTTATTTATACCATATCTGAAGCTTGCGTGGCTTGCGTGGCATGGCTCCCCAAATCAACACAGACTATGGAAACTTCACACTGGTTTCAAGCATCTTGCAGTGTGTGCCTCTCCATTCTTCCTCCATACTCTGGGTCCTTGTTTTCCAAATGAGATGCAAAAGTTGCTCTCATCAGAAAAGAGGACTTTGGACCACTGAGCAACAGACCAGGTCTGTTTTTCTTTAGCCCAGGTAAGACGCTTTTAACGTTGTTTGTTGTTCAGGAGCGGCTTGACGAGGAATACAACATTTGAAGCCCATGTCCAGGATCCGTCTGTGTGTGGTGGCTCTTGATGCACTGACTCCAGCCCACTCCTTGTGAAAGTCCCCAACACTTTTTAATGGCCTTTTCCTGAGAATCCTCTCCAGGCTGCAGTCATCCCTGCTGCTTGTGCACCTTTTTCTTCCACACTTTTCCCTTCCACATAACTTTTTATTAATGTGCTTTGATCCAGCACTTTGGGAACATCCAGCGTCTTTTGCAATTACCTTTGGAGGCTTACCCTCCTTATGGAGGGTGTCAATGATGGTTTTCTGCACAACTGTCAGGTCAGCAGTCTTTCCCATGATTGTGATTCCTAATGAACCAGACTGAGAGACCATTTAAAGGCTCAGGAACCCTTTGCAGGTGTTATGGCTTAATTAGCTGATTAGAGTGGGACACTTTGAGCCTAGAATATTGCACCTTTTTACAATATTCTAATTTTCTGAGATTGTGGATTTGGGGTTTTCATGAGCTGTTAGCCATAATCATCACAATTATGACAAATCACAGCTTGAACTATCTTGCTTTGCATATAATGAGTCTATCTCATATATTAGTTTCACCGTTTTAAGTTGCATTACTGAAATAAATTAACTTTTGCACGATATTCTAATTTTTCGAGTTTTACCTGTATGTGCAAACCCGCGCACCCCCTCCCCCCGACTTCTCCATCAAGACCAACAACACCACCATCAGTCCCACCCCTCATGCCAGAGTACTAGGTGTCATCCTAGACGCCAATCTGTCCTTTCAGCCCCAGGTCCAATCCCTGACATACTCATATAGACTTCACCTCCGCAACATCGCAAAATACGTCCATTCCTAACCCTAGAAACCACTAAGCAACTCATTCACTCCATTATTATATCACGACTTGACTACAGTAACTCCCTCCTCATCGGCTTACCTCACCGCAGGCTATCCCCGCTCCAGTCTATCTTGAATGCTGCGGCCAGACTCATCCACCTTACTAACCGCTCCGTATTCGCCACCCCCCCTGCCAATCCCTCCACTGGCTTCCGATTGCCCAATGGATAAAATTCAAAATGCTAACATTGACATATAAAGCTGTTCATAATACTGCCCCAAACTACATCACCGATCTGGTATCCAAATATCACCCAAAACGTACTCTCCGCTCCTCACAAGACCTCCTACTCTCTAGTTCCCTGGTCTCCTCCTCCCATGCCCATCTCCAGGGCTTCTCCAGGGCTTTCCCCATCCTCTGGAACTCCCTACCCCAATCCATCAGACTATCACCCACTCTCCTCACCTTTAGGCACATGCTGAAAACCTATCTCTTCAGGGAAGCCTACCCCGCCCTCAGATAATTGCTGAACTCCTCCACTCTTCCTACCACTCCATCCCCCACAGCTATTTCCTCCTGTACCACCCAACTCCCTCCTAGATTGTAAGCTCCAAGGAGCAGGGCCCTCGAACCCCTCGTGTATTGAATCGTATTGTTATTGTACTGTCTCCCATTATAATGTACAGCGCTGGCAAACTGTTGGCGCTTTATAAATCCTGTATAATAATAACAATAATAATAAAATACAATGAAATAGTGATATAATGAAAAAGTCCAATCAATAAAGTGTGCATCCAACAGTGTGAAAAGAAAGAGATGGCCCAAAATTCTTCTTTCCATACCACCAACCGTGCACTTCTCCACCTATATGCACTCACTAGAGGGCTAAAAAGCAAAAGCCATCATAGCCAGCGTTATCACTCGGGCATCCAAATCCCTGGTCACCATACGAAATTTCTAAATGGAAAGGAGCACTGTAGAGGCAAGACACCAATGAAGGTAGGTGCCAAACAAACTGTTTGGTTGGGGCAGTGGGACGGATTATAGTAGATTAACCCTCAGAAGAGTGGGAGAAGATTGTCCACCCCTCACCTTCCTTAACCACTTGCTTACCGGGCACTTTTACACCCTTGCTGCCCAGGCCAGCTTTCAGCGCTGTCACACTTTGGGTGCAGTGTTGCATAACTGCACAATTGTCAAACAAAAAATTTAAATTTTTTTGAGACAGAGCTTTATTTTGGTGGTATTTAACCACTTGCCCTCCAGTGGATTTACCCCTCTTCCTGACCAGGCCATTTTTTGCTGTTCGGTACTGTGCTATTTCAACTGGTAATTGCGTTATCGTGCAATGCTATACCCAAACAAAATTTATGTACTTTTTTTCACACAAATAGAGCTTTCTTTTAGTGTTTTTTGATCACCTCTGCAGTTTTTTTTTAATTTGTGCACTATAAACAAAGAGACTGCAAATTTTGAAGAAAAAAACCCAATATTTTACACTTTTGGTTTTAAAAAATATGAAGTCGGTCATAAATTTAGGCTAAAATGCCAGGGCAGTACAACCCTTTCCCCCCCCCAAATGGCCCCTTTTTGGAAGGTAGACGCCCCAAGGATTTTGCAGAGAGGCATGTTGAGTCCATGGAACATTTAATTTATTGCTACAAATTTTTTGACTATGACAATTTTTTTTAACACATAATTGGCACTTTAATGATATATTGCTCATGCATGGGTATATGTGGAATAACACCCCAAAACACATTCTCCTACTTCTTCCAAGAATGGGGATACCACATGTGAGAGACTTTTTGGCAGCCTAGCTACATACAAGCCCCCAAAATTCAATGACCACCTCCAGGCTTTCAAAAGGCATATTTCCTCATATCACTTCCCCAGTACCTATCACAGTTTCGGAGGCTCTAAAATGCCAGGATAGTACAAAACACCCCCCCCCCCCCTCATGACCCCATTTTGGAAGTAGACACCCCAAGGAATTTGATAAGAGGTGAGTATTTTACAGATATATTTTTTGTCAGGGTTTTGAAAAAGAAAAACATTTTTTGTTTTCTTTCTTCGTTTTCCAAAAACATGTGGCAACAAATTAGATCGGCAAAACACTCAACATGCCTCTCAGCAAATACCTTGGAGTGTCTGTTTTCCAAAAAGGGATCATTTGGAGGGGTTGCTTCTACTATCCTGGCATTTCAGGGCCAACATTAGAAGCTTATACCATACATCACCCACTCTTGAAGACCAAGCCCTTTCTGACACTTTTTGTTCACATGAAAAACAGTTTTTTTTGCTAGAAAATTACTTTGAACCCCCAAACATTATAGATTTTTTTTTAAAGCAGAGGCCCTAGAGAATAAAATGGTGGATGTTAAAATTTTTTTCTTCACATAGTTTTTCAAATGCAAATCTTTTGGGTAAAATACACTTTTTAGCATTTAAATGCTCAAAAACAATTCAGCAGCTAATTGGCCACGAGGATTGCTTTTACATGAAAGCCAACCGCCAGCTGAAAAAAACGGTACCAGAATGATGCCTGTAGTTGCTGGCATCATCCCGGTATAAACACTCAAAGTCCAGCGACATACCAGTACATTGCTGGTCCATGTTCGGCATATATGTAACAGCAAAGAACACAGGAATACAATGAATTGGCTCTGAGGATCAACATGACTGCAATTCATTCTTTTCTGTAATGCCCATGTTGAGGGT